CCCCCCCCCCCTCGGAAATTCAAATCGCCCCTCCGAAGAAAAAACACTGGAAATAAGTATCAATTCGTTTGAATATATTATTTTGTTCTTTTTTTTTTTTATTTTTAGTTTATCTCGATATAAATTAAAATTTTCTCCTGATAAAGTTGATACAATGATTGTTCAAGCTATTTGTATGTATTTTTTTTTTATAATTCTATATGAAATATATATATATTTTGTTTTTGTCTATAGCTTTATTGGATGATCTTGATAAAGAAACAAATAATTATATAATGCGTTGTAAAGAATGGTATGGTTGGCATTTTCCTGAATTAGCTAAAATTATACAAGATAATATTGCTTTTTGTAAAACAGTACAAAGAATTGGTTAATTAATATTCTATTAATTTTTCTTTTTTAAATATATATATTTTTTTTTTATTATTATTCATAGGTTATCGAACGAATGCAGTTGAACTTGATTTATCTGATATTTTACCTTCGGATATTGAAGCACAAGTAAAAGAAGCTGCAGAAATATCTATGGGTACTGAAATATCTGAAGAAGATATAACTAATATTCGTCATTTATGTTCTCAAGTATGTTTAATTGAATTTATTAAATAAGATATATATATTTCATATTCGATTCTAACATCGAGAATTGACAAAAGCTAATAATCTATGATGATTTTAATAACCGCCCCAGTCTGAAACTAATTTATGTTGATTGGTCCCATACTGAGATTATTAGCTTAATAATATTTTTGTATAAAAAGGCAAAACTTTATATATATAATATATGTTTTAATAGGTTATTGAAATATCCGATTATCGTGCACAATTATTTGAGTATTTAAAAAATCGAATGATGGCTGTTGCACCAAATTTAACAGTATTAGTTGGTGAACTTGTTGGTGCTCGACTTATTGCACATGCCGGTACGTATATATATTTTCTCATTTTTTCTTTAAAAAAAAATCAATGAATTTTCTAATCGCAACGTGAATTTTAAGTTCATAATGATCTTTAAAATAGACGTACAAATGAATTATAAATACCCTGAAAAGAATTTAAGTCCTTAGATTATTGCTATAGAGATATCGCATTTTTTTTTGAATAAATGCTTTGATCTTCTAAAGAAAAATAGTATTCGATTTAAAAATTTTTCACAGAGATCGATTTTGATGAAAGTTTATTATGAGGATTATTTGAACTGGTCGAATTGTTCAACTCTAATTTTTGAATTTTCTCACCTATGAAGATAAATCTTACGAGGAAACATTCCCAACTGTCACATTGCTTTTGAATTGAGCGTATACACATCATGTAGGCTCTAATGATCTATGAATACTCTGAAAAAAATTTCGTGCTGCTAGCTTATTACTACCGAAATATTGCATTTTTACTGTATGTTGAAGCAGAAAGCCGTGATTCCCCTCAGGAACACTGAGAAAACTGAATTTCGTTTTGAAACTTTGCATAAATATAGGTCTCAATGAGAATACTTTATTGTGAAATTTTCAGCTCTTTTCGTTGTTCCTATTCTAATTTACAGCTATAGTAAAATTGCTCATATACACAAGCAGATCCGATGTTCTTATTTCAGACTAGGAACAACCAAAAGATCTGAAACCTTCACAAT